CTGCTGAGAACACCCACTTAGAAATAATTGGTGGACGGAAACAGATGTAATTCTTGTGGGAATCACATTTGTAACTCCCCCTCTTCATCTTATTTTATCTGCCACTGAATGCCTGGTACAAAATGTGCTTCAGGTCCAAGCAGAGAAGAAGGGGGAGTTGTAAAAATCTGTCAGCTCTGAGCAATACTTTGGTTGTGCTTTTTCTTCTCATTTGGATTGTGCTTTCTAAAAACTAGATCAAACAGAAGAGAGGTGATGTCCACAGCAGCCCGCCAGTTTCCAGCTGCTATTTTCTGTCCTGATTAAAAGAAAGGTTAACACCATATTGGGTGCCAAGGGTAAGAACTGCACTGTTCCTTGTCGAAGGCGCAGATTGGTATGTCACATGGCAGGACTACAGCTAAAAAAAAAAAGCATCACCAGTGCTAAATTCCCCAGATCTGACCATGGTGGTAAAAAAATGCTGACACATACAAATTTGTCTGCAATCAATTGTTGGCATTAGGCAATAGAGAGAATTGTATTATTCAGTTTCCTCTCATCTGTCACTATCTTACTTGACATCTTAAAGTGATATTAAAAGCTCAATTTTTTTAAAAAAACAAACATGTCATACTTACTTGTTCTGTGCAGAGCATTCCTGATCCTCCTCTTCTTGGGTCCCCCTCCGGAGTTCTGGCCCCTCCCCCTGCCCAGTGTCCCCATAGTAAGCCACGTGCTTGGGCACTGGTACATGCTCACACCCGGGTCAGCTCTGTGTGTCTATGAGACACACAGAACACGGCTCAGCCCCCCCTCCGCTCTCTCCTCCTGATTGACTGCAAATGACAGCAGTGGGAGTCAATCAGTCCTGCTACTGTGTCTCAGCCAATGAGGAGAGAGAGACCCGGGACAGAAAAGGCTCCCATTTACAAGGAACAAGGGGGGTTAAGGTAAGTATTAGGGGTGGGGGGAGCAACACACATAAGTTTTTTTACCTTCATGTACAGAATGCATGGAGTTAAAAAACTTTCATCTTTTACAACAACTTTAAAGCTAGGCATTGGGCAGATATAGAAGGCACAAAGAAATGTATCATTACTGCAACATTAAATATATTACATTTAAGACATTGTACAGTGTTGGCTGAAGTGTGAGAGGGACAAGATGCACAAGGAGCCAATATGTTCATCTGCTGACAAAAAGCATGCTGATAGAAGGAGAGAACAGAGTAACAGAGAGTTGAGCTCATCAATGGGCTTCTTCTCCTTTCACTGCCCATTCACAGTCTGGGGGTGGGTCTGGAACAACATCAGAGCTGAATGATGCTGAACTTTAAACTGAGAACTTCTAGTGGCAGAAAAAAAGTTCTGCAGTGGAAATCTCTGGATTGAAGGTGAATATTGCAGCAAAAGCTGTGTGTTTTTTATCTTTTAACGGGGTATAGATTTTTCTTTTGGTATTTTTTGCTGGAGTTCTGCTTTAACATGTAGGCTTCTGCCAGCGCTAGCAATTCAACTGGCCCCATAAAACACCGGGAACATAATCTCTGAGGCAGTAGCTGAATAGGCAGCAGGGAACTAGGTGGATCAATGCATGGTGTGCATAGTGGTGAAATCTATAGGGATGCTTATCTAAGCATTTCTGGGTATTCTCATGACATTGGATGGAAATATTCCCTTGGTGGTCATCCTAAAATAGAGTTAGAGCGGAAGGGCAAGTTAAGCCCTTAGAGAACGTCTGGGAAGGTTATGGTCCTAGTGTTTTGTCCTTTCTGTACCTTTCCTCTGGTTTATTTTTTAATCAGCTGTTGTGAATTCAATTTTGAAGGAAAAATTCATGCACAATTATTTACTTATGTCTGCTTTTAAAAAAAAACAAAACTAGTAATAGTAGGCCTGTACTAAGGAATAAAGTCCTAGCATTTCTGGTATGTACTGCGGAAATTAAAGTAGCAAATACACACAATGTCATTTAACCCCAATAGCATACCTTACTTGATTAGTGCATTAAGAACTTACAGGCATATGCCTCTGTGTGTCCCTTGTGCACCTGATAAACATATACCACACAAACGCAGGATCTCATACAAAGGGTAAAATTCTCTCCACTGCTGATGCCAAACAACCCCTCTTCAAATGTCATCCTGTATTTCTCTCCACCACCCACAGTCCATCCGGCCAAGAAACAATCAGTTCAGTGATCACTACTTTGTGTGAAAGCAGTCGAGAAGGAGAGAGAGAGAGACAGAGAGCCCAGAGTTAAGTCTCAGGCAAAGTTACATTGATGCAGCAACGATTTGTGCAATGGTGCCAGCATCAAGAAACCTGCATTCTTTGCTTCTCTTATAAATAATGCTTGCTTTCATAATCCCTAAGACAACCCTTGCTATCTGCACTTGCTCTTGACGCCTGAAATCTGCTTATTCTTTTTTTTTTAACAGTCTTGTGCTGTCCTGGGTTTTTCTATCACCGTATTCTACTTATTAACCACTTCATGCAAAATGCCAGTTATTGAAGAAATATACAGTATATTGTATTATTCTTAAATACTGCATAACTGCACAAACTAGTTTTGCAAAAAAGCTACAGATTCTTTGTAAGTGCACCAAGGATTGATTTACCAAAAAGGCAGTGATGGGGCAGTAACCCATAGCAACAATGAGATGCCAGCTTTTTTTTTTCTTTTGCAGCCAGACTAATTATACCTGAATCATTGTTCTGGGCTTTTTAATATCATGATGTATTTCAATTAAAAAAAAAAAAAGCATGGGTCTCAATTCACTAGTCTAATTTATAAAAGCAATTTAAAAAAGCAAATTGCAGTTAACCCTATCACTCCTTTATACAACAACTTTTACTGATCGGACTACCATAAACCAAAATGTGGATGCTATGGATCACAGGTCTTTAAAAAAAAATAATAGCATAAGCAATTATCTCCTCCCACTTGCTCTGGCAAGCAAAGAGTTACACATAGCTCCCCAGCCAGGGTTTATGAATCTTTGCCAACAAGAGTTAATGAGCTTCTCGGCACAAATAGGTTAAAATGTACCACTGACACCATACAGAGTAATTGCTGTAATAATGATCCAAATATTCTACAGTTCAACACAGAGATGATTTTATATGGCCCACATATAATTACATCTAGACTACAGGAGCTAACTCTCAAGTCATCCCAGTGGTCCCATTAGAGACAAAATCGTGTTTGAGGATGAAAAGCTGTCCATCAAATCCTGTCTTTTCCCTGCCCCTTCTCATTACAACTTGCCAAAGGTCACTTGGGCATCCACAGCCCATCCACATGAGTCTGGGAATGCAGGGGCACATTAACTCTTTTATCTCTGGGTTTCAGCATGCAAATCCCAGAAAAGCATCTAGGGGCCTTTATCCCTTTCTAAACAGTTAAGCATCTGACAGCGGTGGAATTGCAAATGATCTTGTGTCAGCATTTAGCAGTCAACACGCAAGCAGTTAGATAGAATCAGCTACTATGTACATTAGTTTTAGCAGGTCAAACATGCACAGTAATTAATACAGACATGCATATCGCTCCTGATTACAAAGATTTCCAATGCACATGCTGCACAGATGTACATACCAGACATGCCAGAGCAGGTGACACACACAGCAATTGCTTGTATGCATCTGTGCATAAGGGGGGATGAAAATAAAAGAAAACTCACAGCATTTTCCTGAATGTAGTGCAGCTTATAAGTGATGCTCAGGAGTATTTGAGGGAGAGGGAGGGGGTTGTGCATCCACTGTCCTCTTCAGACAGACCAAATCCAAGGATCACAATGAGTTTCACACTCCCTTTCCTATAATGAAAGGGACAGATCACATTTGAGCTTTACAAGAGAGTACAATAGACAGGCACAACGTGTTTGCAGTGCTCCCCCAGCAACAAATTTCTAGAGCGTGACGTCATCCCCCTCTCAGTCTGAGGGAGCTTGCAGAACAGAAGGGTCTACAGAAGCCCCACTTATAGCAAAGCAGAGAAGGGAAAGCAAGCCACGGTGAGAACTACTGCCAGTCACTGCAGACTCCCACTCTGATAACTTCTTCCCACATCTCCCCAGAGATCATGGATGAGGACAAATGAGAAGAGCTTGATTTCTCTGCTTTGATATGCAAACCTGCATCGGACCTGCAAAGAAGAACAACCTCATGCTTTCCTGATGCGTGAGTACACAGTTCACATCTCTATATATTTTCTGTGCTATACTGGGAAATACAGTACAACATTAGGGATCTGCCTGAGAATAAGGGCATGGGGGAGTTTGCAATGCCCTACTCAATTAATACGATTTATTTAAGCATCCTCTGCATATATTGGGATTTCTAGCTATATTGCATTTGCAAATGTGTTTCCTTTTCTTTTATTTTCAAGGTTTTAACGTAGGTACCAGATCTTGGATCTGTGGGATATAAAGATGCTGAACAGCATTTTGTTGCTGAGTGTTATATCAGTGACTGCGATCTTAAAGACAGAGAGTCGTAAAACTGCCAAAGACATATGCAAGATTCGTTGTTTGTGCGAGGAAAAGGAAAATGTGCTAAATATCAATTGTGAAAACAAAGGCTTTACCCAGTGTCAGTTTACTGCTTCCACCACAGTCTAGAATCTACCAGCTTTTCCTTAATGGCAACTTACTAAGCAGGCTGTACCCGAACGAGTTTGTCAATTACTCCAATGCGGTGACTCTACATCTAGGCAACAACGAGCTGCAAGAGATCAGGACTGGAGCTTTCAACGGGCTAAAGACACTGAAAAGATTGCATCTAAATAATAACAAATTAGAAGTATTAAAAGAAGAAACTTTCCAGGGCCTTGAGAGTCTTGAATATCTCCAAGCAGATTACAATTTCATCAGTGTCATTGAAGCTGGGGCTTTCAGCAAACTGAATAAATTAAAAGTCTTGATACTGAATGACAATCTTCTGCTTTCTCTACCAAACAACGTCTTTCGCTTTGTACTTTTAACCCACTTGGATCTAAGAGGCAATAGACTTAAAATGCTGCCCTTTGCTGGTGTCCTTGAGCACATTGGTGGGATCATGGAGATTCAACTGGAGGAGAACCCTTGGAATTGTACTTGCGATTTGATTCCACTGAAAGCATGGCTAGATACCATTACAGTGTTCGTAGGGGAAATTGTCTGTGAGACCCCCTTTAGACTTCATGGAAAAGATGTCACTCAGCTTACAAGACAAGATCTGTGCCCTAGGAAAAGTGCCAGTGATACAAATCAAAGGTCTGTTCACCCAGCTTTTCCTGATACTCGTGTACAAAGGATGCCTCCAACATTTAACCCTGCAGTAACCCCAACCAGACCCCCCAAGGCCAGCAGACCTCCAAAAACTAGAAACAGACCCACTCCTAGAGTAACTGTGTCCAAAGATAGGCAAATCTTTGGGCCTATCATGGTTTATCAAACCAAGTCTCCAGTTCCTCTAAGTTGTCCTGAAACTTGTGTTTGTACCTCACAGACCTCTGACAGTGGCTTAAATGTTAATTGTCAAGAGAGAAAAATCGGCAACATATCGGATCTTCAACCTAAGCCCAGTAGCCCAAGGAAATTGTACCTGACAGGCAATTATTTGCAAACTGTTTATAAAACCGATCTTCTTGAATTTAGCTCCCTGGATTTGTTACATCTAGGAAATAACCGAATTGCAGTTATACAGGAAGGTGCCTTTTCCAACCTCACAAGTTTACGTAGACTTTACCTTAATGGCAACTACCTTGAAGTACTCTTCCCCTCTATGTTTGATGGTTTGTTTAGTTTGCAATATCTTTATTTAGAGTACAATGTAATTAAGGACATTTACCCACGTACATTTGATGCTCTGAGCAATCTTCAGCTCTTGTTCCTAAACAACAATTTGCTGAGATCACTGCCTGATAATGTATTTGGAGGCACTGCCTTGACAAGGCTAAATTTAAGAAACAATCACTTCTCTTATTTGCCTGTAAAAGGAGTTCTTGATCAGCTCACGGCCTTCATCCAAATAGATCTCCAGGAAAACCCTTGGGATTGCACCTGTGATATTTTAGGTCTTAAGAACTGGATTGAACAATCTAGTTCAACTGTGGTTGTCCAGGAAGTAACCTGTGAATCCCCACTGAAACATGCTGGGGAGCATTTAAGGATTATGCCCAAGGAGACAATCTGTCCAGAAAACCCACATTTAGCTGATGCCACCATGTTATCTTTCAATCATAAATCCCACACACCACATCCTTACAGTGTATCACCAAGCCCCTACCCTGAATTGCATACTGAGGTTCCACTGTCAGTGTTAATTTTGGGATTGCTAGTCGTTTTTATCCTGTCCGTGTGCTTTGGGGCTGGGCTTTTTGTCTTTGTACTCAAAAGACGGAAAGGGGTACAGAGTGTTTCAGGCAGCAGTGCAAACAATTTAGATCTCAGTTCTTTTCAGCTCCAGTATAGTTCATATAATCCCAGTTCCAATGACAAAACTGAGGCTCATGTGTACAACTACATACCACCACCTGTTGGGCAAATGTGCCAAAATCCGATCTACATGCAAAAAGAAGGAGATCCTGTTGCTTATTACAGAAACCTACAAGAGTTTAGTTATAGTAAACTGGAACATAAAAAGGAAGATCCAACTGCATATACAATAAGCACAACTGAACTGCTGGAAAAGTCCTCCACCCCAGCAGAGCCAGAACTTTTGTACCAGAACATTGCAGAGAGGGTAAAGGAGCTGCCCAGTGGAGGAGTAGTTCATTATAACTTTTGCACCCTGCCCAAAAGGCAGCTCATGCCAGCATATGAGTCGAGGCGTCAAAATCAGGACAGGATTAATAAAACTGTTTTATATGGCACCCCCAGAAAATATTTTGCTGAACAATCTAAACAGGAGCATCTTTTTCTTCAAGGAAAAATGCAGTCAGTCAGAGCCAGATTACCTTGAGGTTCTGGAAAAGCAAACTGCAATAAGTCAGCTGTAGGCAACATTTCTCAACATTGCTACAAGCTTACTGGTTATATGAAGTGTCAGAAGCAATTGTGCATACACTGTATGCCTTTTTTATGCTACACAGGTACAGATACATTGCATTACCATCGGTTTTGGGTACAATGTATCTCATATTTCTTTTGTTGTTTTTTCTTTTTAAATTATTTCTTTATTTTACTTTTAGAAGCAGTCTCCTTTAAATGAATGTTTGCTTTTATTACCATTGTTTTTATCTTTCCTTTCAAATTTTTGTTTAAATAAGAGTGAATTTGATCTAATGTTCTAAACAGTAGAAGATCTCCAAAGATCTCAGTGAACTGAACTTTTCTATGTAAATAACATACTGTTTTAAATCAATTACCAACTGCAGCCACTGGGCGTCACTTGTTTGAGTTAAAGTGCCTTTGCACTTTAAATAACCTAAATTTTGCTTTTAGCTTTTATACCATGGATATATTTTAATGTGCAGTATTTCTGAAAGAGAAAAATATATTATATATATATATATATATCCCCCAAAATATGAGAGGTCACTTTTGTATTTTACATTGCATTGATAAAAAAGTATTGCTTTTACAGGGCAGGAAAATAAACAATAAAGACATGTTTAAATTGTATATCTCTTCCTAAATATGTAGATGCAAAACTATAGGATCGTAGAAATATAGAAATGAAATGCTTCTTTGAAAGGAGATATATATAATATTATATATATATATATATATATCTATATATATATATAGATATATATATATATATATCAGTTCCATTGCTTAGTTTTCATTTCAGCTCTACTGATGTTAATTGTTTTAAGACTATTTTCCTAATTAAAACAGAGTTAAATAACTGAAATACAATTTTTGTCTATTAGCGTTAAATAATTTTATTGATTGCAACGTGCATTTGGATTTTGATGCAGTTTTGCACACATGGTAATACTCTGGGTTTTGAAAGCTTGCAATACTATAGTATTTTCAATATGTTAAAGAAAATTGCCAATTAGGTCTGCTGTTATTAGAATTTATACCACATTTGCTGTGAGTATGCTCTAGATAGCTGCACAGAACTCCTACAGTATCAATTACAGTATATGTATAGTTGAGGGCAAATCACGACACAATTAAAATGATCAAAGTGCAATATCTACATCCTAAGTAGCCAGTAAACATTTCCTATGCAGGCATAATTGTGCAAATTAAACAAACACCCATTATTTAAAACAAAAACAGTTTTGTTTTTGTCTTTTGTAAATCCTTATGCAACTGGGATGGTGATCTGCATATAAAGTAGGGCATGCTTTTCAAATCTTTACTAAAGCAATTGATGGACTCTGAAAGAAGCACAGTGTTTCCTTTTCATAAATAGGTTACTGCACATAATAATCCGTTATTATCATGCAGAGACTGAAGTGGGCACTGCTGACTGTTTTTAAGCGTTTCTAGAAATTCTAACATATTAAAAGTTATTCTGAGGATGTGCATTTAAGTAGGTTTAAATTGCTGCCTAAATTGATTCAAAAGGAAAGCTTGCATACCACAGTTAGATAGATCTCTCTTTAAATCATGGTGACTGAGTAAGCTGAAAATACATTTCTGGGTAGCAATCTATAATAGAGTTTTATCATCAAATCTGACTTTAAAAACATATACCACACACACGCAGCACACACACAGAAACACAACATGGAATGACATACACACCACACATGCACACACACATGCCACACACACAAGCACACACAGATGCATACACACCACACATACACACCCCACACACATGAATACACACAAAATGCACACACATACACACACACACACACACACACACAAAACATGCAATTAAATATATGCCACACACATACACACCACATTTGCAAGCACACATACACCAACATGCCACACACAAGCCTATACACACACAGTTGAATACAATCCATGCATACACACCCCACAAACATGCATACACACCACACACAACATGTACATATATACATGTATATAAACACCACACGCATGCACACACACATACACATACATGCCACACACAAGTACATACACACAGATGTATAGAAAGCACACATACACATCCCACACACCTGCATACACACTGCGCACACATACACACACACACAAAAACACGTAATTACATACATACCACACATATACACACCACTCATGCACACACACATGCTACACGTGTGCATACACAACCCTATATACACACAGTTGCCTACAAACCACACATACACACCACATACTCAGGCACCACACACACAAAGCACAAGCACACCTCACACATACATACACACAAAACACACACACATACAACAAACACACTGTTCTTTTTTTATTCCATAATGTAGGCTTTAACATTCAAGGTATTCTAACTTAGTTGAACAAAACAATGACATCTCTGGAAAGCTTCACTGATGAAAAAAGCAAGAGAGAGCACTTCTCTGCTGCAACCATTATCAAGCCAAGTAGGAGAGTCTTAATTCCCTTGCTGCATTCTCACCAATGTGCATACATACGTTGCACAGCAGATAAACTGGGAATTTAGGAGAAATCTCGCTAATAGTGTCCCCAAGGCAGGCCGTAGACAAGTCAAAAAAAGATTGTTCTGTCAATTAAAAAACAAAAATGGCACATAGGATTGTGCCATTATTTTTTTCCTTTTTCAAAACAAAATCCAGCACGTTAGTTCAGGCACTTTCCATTGGGACACGAAAATCACGCCACGCCACAGCTGGCACACTAATGATGTGAAAAACTAATGACCAAACATTTTTGTTCAGTTTTCGAATCATCTATGGCCCACAGAAGAGATTCCAAAATCTAATGAATCTCAAATTATTGTCACTTAACTAAATGGTTAATTATAGTTAACTTATAGTATACAACTTGGATGCAATATTTTCATGTACTAAATTATGGCAATGTACTGGCTCAAGTGCACTTACAGCAAAGATTAAGAAATTGCATATGGCAAAGATTACGGTCAATTAATGAACTGCATAGCTGGCATCATAAGCTGCCATCACATACCTTTAGTTGTATGGTTCATCAAAGGATAATCACCCTCTTAAAACAGCTATGCAAGTAGTGACTTTCTAATGGTTGCTATTTGCATAGCTATAGACACCCCCCATGTTGCAATTTTGGTGGCTGCCAGAAATAGTCCTTGCATTATGGAAAGTGGGTGGGTGGGGGATATGTCAGCTTAATGTTACCAGTAATCAAATGCATTGAGAGGCTCTGGGTAGCACTGCACTGACAAGTCAAGCAATACATGTCTGTGTTAACAGTTTATGTTATCAGCTATGTGCTACATATGTTAGTCTATACATTTAGGTATTTAGGACACACTAGGCATTGTCATACTCCATCAATTTGCATTTTAAGTTTATTTTATTATTATTATTATTATTTGCATTACTACAAAAATGGACTTAATTAGAACTGATGCATTTTAGAAATTAGGTTTTTTTTTTACATTTCCTCACCTGGCTTCAGCTCATTGCAGTTTTAATTAAATTTGTGCTGCTATGTAATTGAGTGCTCTTTAGCATTACCATATTCAGGGAACAACATGGGATTTATAAAATACCCATAAAATTCACAAACTGTAACTGGTAAGCTTACTTATTGACAATTTTTGTAATAACAAAAAAAAAAAGAGCATGTAACATCTTGAGTGCACTTACTTGTATCTAGAGTGCTCTATCACATGCAAAACACTAGCAAAGGTCTGCCTGTTCAGTAAATGGAATGAAATTCTGCATTTTCATTAACATTCCAAGCGAAAGTCTTTCACATACTCTACATTTTACACACACACACACACACATATTACTGAGTTCTCTTACAGCAGAGAACTGTTTCTAAACTTTACAAACAAAGGGCCAGTTTACTGCCCTTCAAACTTTAGGGGGGCTGGACTGTGGCCAGTGGAAGTAGAAAATGCCCTGGCATCAATGGGAATAAACAATGCCATAGACTCAGTGGGAGTAAAAAAAATACATCATTGGTGTCAGTTGGAGGAATAGAGCCCCATCAATGGTGTCAGTTGGAGGAATAGTGCCCCATAATTGGTGTCAGTGGGAGGAATAGTGCCACTGACACCAATGATGGTGGAAGAATTAGTTCCCCATCTCTGGCGTCAGTGGGAGGAATAGTGCCCCATCTTTAGTGTCAGTGGAAGTAATAGCGCCCAAGGGACAGATAAAGGCAGGAAGTGGGCCACAGTTTGGAGACCTCTGGTTACATCTAAATGACCAACTTGCAGTGCCATATCTCAACTCCAGATGGAGCTGTAAGAAAAATGTAACATTGCAACTACAGGTGGACAGTACAGTGTGAAAGATGTAAGAGAAGAGAACCCATTACTTTGCAGCGAGGTCAAAGTCATGCAGAACTTATTATTTATTTATTTATTTGCACCAGTGTTATTCTTGTTCTTAATTAGGGTGATGTTAAAACAGGCATCAAAAAGGTAGATGTATTTTTTAATTTTAGCCTTAACATTATTATTATTACATCGAGTTTATATAGCGCCAAAGGGTTTGCTCAGCGCTGTACAATACCCACTTCAGCTTCGGAAGGTTTTAAACCCTTCATGACCAGGCAATTGTTTGCTATACCGCCCTGCTCTATTTTAATTGGTAATTGCACGGTCATGCAATGCTGTACGCAATTTAAAGCTATAGAATTTTTTTTCACAAATAGAGCTTTCTTTTAGAGGGTATTTGGTCCCCACTGAGTATTTTTTTTTTTTGCAACATAAACAAATCCAATGAAACTAATTTAAAAATCGAATTTATCCATACATCTTGCCCAACATGTATTCTGCTACATGTAAAACAAAAATACCAATAAGTGTATATTGATTTGTTTGCATGAAAGTTATAGTGCCTACAAAGTATGGTATATATACTGATTTTTTTTTTAATACTGGTG